GACACTTATTGTCCCTGTTTGAAATTAGATTATGAATTCTTTGTGACTGGAGCTTCTTTATGTGCAACCAGTGCTGCGAGACCTTCATCCTGGTGCACTCTGTGTGATTATCCATTCCCTGCAAAGAAGCAGTGCGCAAATGAGGACGAATGCCTTTATTTACCCTGTAGTCGTATGAATTCCACAATAGGAATGTTCTACTGAAAGCTTTGGACAAACAGTGGCTGATGCTCTGACCTGTTAAAGTCAGCGGCAAAGCCACCATCAAGCTACCAAACAGCAAAAATTTCATTTAGAAATTCTAACGACCCTTAACACCTGATCTGATATTGTAAACAGGTGAATCTGCATCGGTACAGAGAGCCTGTGTGTGAGTAAAAGGAGCACACCCAGGATTTCATGTGACGTTTTGCATCTATCACAGAAAAACACTCTGGCATAAGAAGGAGGAGCTGTGTTAAAAAAAAAAATTCTGCATAAAAAAGAGTAGAAGCGTAAATTTGACATCAGTCACAGAAAGCTGGAAGAACAAGAGGAACCTGAAAAAATGAGGATGATCATTGCTACGTGATGCATCCAAGTACAGATATTAACTAACTTTCAGAAGTATTTTTATCTTATGTTCTGCCTGGGCAAAATTCATTCATGCACGCTATAAATACAGGTAGAGGTGAAGGCAATGAGTTATGAGGAGAGAAAGGACTAGCAAACCCAGCTCTTAAAATGATATATAATTTAACACTTAATCCTTTAAAGGATTCTGAGAAAGTGAAATGATTCAGACTTTACAATAAATAGTGATCTATAAAGGACTGATCTTCTCATGGAGTGACTTTGGTGACTGTGACTCCATCTCTACATTTTAGTCTAGCCAGGAACTGTTATAATAGTAAAGTTAGTTAATATATTTGTCATATGGAGCTCAGGGTGGAATTTGAAATCACTGTGCTGTGCTTGGTCCATGGGGGTCTATACATTGCATTGTAGGTGAGGTTTTCTGAAAAGTCTACCCAAACATGCAAAACATTTTAAAAACAATATTCATGACTGACTTTCTATGAAGTTCCTTTTTTTCCTTTATTAATCACCAAAAAAAAAGTTATTTTTGACCAGATATTTCATGCAATTAATTTCAACAAGAGCAGAGGACCAGAGGATGGACTATCTCGACAGGCTAGCTGTATTCATGTCAGCTGGCTTTGAGGAAATTTCTCCAAGAGTATTTTAGGACTTATCCTGAGCAACCGCTGAACTGTTAGTGATCATTTTTGAAAATTGCAGGTGGATGGGGAGTCCCAGAGGGCTGGAAAACTGTAAAAAAAATCTATCTTCAGAGCAAGACTGGGAAGAAACCTATGGCACATACAATGATGGATGAGTTTAACTTGAGTACCTGGAAATGCTCTCACTGAACAGTCACTTAATAACCAACAAAACAAATAATATAGTTTTGTTAAGAGCAAATAACATGATAACATTCTAACAAAATACCCTAACGTGGTTAGAAACCTAGCAAAAGTGTGAGGAACCACAGGCAGGATTTATATTGACCATACCACAACTTTGGACAATCCCGCACAACGTTCTCATAAGCAAGCTGAAGGAAAATGACCCCAAAAAAACTGAGGTGGATGTACAACTGATTGTGAACCGCTATTTGAGTTCATCATTCAGTGGGTTACTTAAATGCGATGATACGAGAGATGGGGCCCTGTAGAGGTTTGTCCTGATCTGTTTGGTTTTATTCTGCTGCACAAAAGGATCCGGAAGATGGCAATTGATTGCAATTGAAAGTGCAAAATATAGCGCTGTTGCAAGACATTCAAATGCCCTTCTGGGATGCATTAACAGGTATAAAATATAGGAAGCAGTTCTTTTACTTGGCTTGGCACTAGTGACCTCAGCTGAAAAACTGTGTCCATTTTTGGGCTGGGTATTTTTAGAAGAATACACCTCTGTGGCTCAGAGGTGAGCAACATGAATAGTAAGAAATGTGACTTCTTGGGAATGGTTGAAAGAATTGAGTGTCTTTTCTAGAAAGAAGACAAGGATAATGTGAGTCTTCACATGCACAAAATATGTACTCTTTCTCCAAAATCAGCAGAAAAACAAGTAATCATCTCAGTTGCTGAGAGCAAAGGTAATTTAGATTAGACATTGTCCTTTTAATTGAAAGGGCAATTGAGCACTGGCTACCGCAGGGACTGCCAGCATCCTCTACACTGAAAGATTTTAAGAGCAGCTGAGGATGGGGTAAATCTTTTCAATTTTGTCTCAAAAATGGGGATAGGGTAAATTGGGGCTCTTGCTCTGCTGACCATCTGTAGATTGCTTGGACAATTTGCCCAGCCTGCTGCCAGCCAGAAGCCAGCGTGAGCTGGGTGAGCTGTTTTGAGGGTGGCAGCCTCTGCCCAGCACAGACTTTCATAGAAAGCTCTCTCATATGGTAGGGTCATGTCAGCTTCCCCGGCCAGAGAAGGACCAGAGCCATTCAGGGAGGACGATGGTTGGGAGCAGGCTGTTGCCAGCACAATTTGTCTGCTCAGAGCTCATTCTCTGCTCAAGTCTGAGGATCACCTTGAAAATGGGGGGGCCAAGTATAGGTTGTGTGAAATACAAGGGTGGCAGCAGTGTGCACCCGCATCTGCAACAGAGAGAGATGACTGAGCAGCTGTTCCTGGACTCGAGATATCCATACTGAGGTCCTGGGACACTGGTGGTCCATAGCTGGCCGACAGAATCGTGATGCAGTTATTCCCTGTTAAAGATGTGCCAATAAAGCTGGATGGTAGCCTGGGAAATATCCTGAACTTTGGCACTGATCCACCGGTTAAAAACGTGTGGAAATCATTAGATGAAGTGACCTCTTGAGGTCATTTTCAACCTTACACTGCAGAGATTTCTGTGAAGTAGTGGAATAATTTCACTACTCTTTGGAATAACAGCAGGACTAAAAATGGAAGAACAAATAATAGGTAAAAAATGGTACAGTTCCAGTATCCACCACTGACAGAGCAAGTTCATGAGGCTTTTCTTTTTATGCTATATGTAATAGAATGTCAATGCAGACTTGGAAGAGCTGGTGTGTTAAACTGAGCCATTTGAGAATTATACAATAGCTCATCTTTAGTGAAAACTTCTGGCAAATAGCTAAACTTTGTTAAACCGGATTATTTGAGAATTACAAATAGTGTAATTTGAGAGGAAGGTTGTGAGAGGGACCTTGTCTTTCCACAAAGGATGAGATGCCTTATTCTTCTCAAATGCCCAAACTGGTCATTTCTGAAAGAACACTATTCCTTGAAACAATATGATAAACCCAAATCCTTAAAGTTCCACCTGCTGGGAAAGAAAAGAAATGAAAGTTTCTGCATATGGTATCTCACTGATATGTACTAAATTTCAAGCTGCAGGGCAAGAAATCTGCTGTGGGAAGACCTAATTTTCATGCTTTGGGACTTCACATCTGTGAAAGTCATGGTATCAGTACACTGGCACATAGGGTTGGATGAGGGCATATTTTTACGTGGGACCTGCTACTTGTGCTTATCAGAGAAATCCCCTGGCATACCAACACCTGGCATAGCCTCATTCTCTGAAGGAGGGGACTGATCCGGCTGACATTATGCCCCAAGCACGATCTGAAGTTACAGTCCTACGTGCAAGCCTCAGCAAAGCACAGCAGGGGTGGCCCATCCCTAATGCAGGATGGTGCTTCCATCCAGCCCTAATAATATCTAATAATATTAAATTGCAGTGTATGCTACCATGTTTCCATATCCAGCCCTCACCCTTACAAAGATAAGAAATCAAAGTGTTTGAGCATGGTGAATAGGAGCGTAAGCTGTTTACATAATCACTGTTTACATTCTGTTAGAGGTGACAAAATCATCAAGAAAAAAATTGTCAGTGTTGATAAAGAGCATATCAGTAAACAGCAGATTAAGCAGGACACAGAGAGCCTTACAGACCAATTATACATAATTTGCCATGGACATGGTTTGAGAAAGAAATGCACACAATGACTTAGAGAAAATTGCTTAGCTTGGGCACGTCCTTATTAACAAAACAACAGTGCCTGAGGGCAAATTGTCCTTGAAAAATAGCTCCTGGGAATAATAGCGTGTCCTCATTCTTTGCCTTGTGACGAAGAAGAGCCCTTTCCTCCCATTCCCAATCCCTTCTAAGGTATGAGACATGTCCCCTCTCCCTTGGAGAGCCAGGGTCTACACCGATAATCTGTTACAGGCCTTCAGCAGCTCAGTTTTGGGGATCTATGCAGCGATTTCCTCCTACCCTACAGCCAGGGTACCATGGATTTGGGAGGCTGTGATACCTCTCCCATCCCTAGTCTGCTGTTTTATCCAATGCGCATTCCTTCATCCTGCCCAAAGTCTTATTCCCACCTTTTCCTGCTTTCATGCATTGACTGCAAGCACAAAGGCAAATCAAATCGCCCGAGAAATGAATGTATGAGCCTACCAGCAGTCTAAGGAAAGTGTCTCTGCTGCTGTATTTTATCCCAGCTGTTCATGAAAAATGTGCTTTTTGTTCCACCACACCTTCAGCAGTGATCCCGTGGGGCATTTTCTTGATCATATTTCAGAGTGACAGTCAGCTTACAACAAGTTTTCAAAATCAGAATGTATCCAGGAGGAGAAGGATGGTGACTTATTGTCCATTGTTTTCATATAATGAAAAGGGGATTTTGGAAAACTTTTATAATTCAATTAAACTAACATGAATACTAAGGACAGATTGTCAAAAATGACAGCCTAAGAAAGACTGAGAAGTGCAATGTCTTTTCTCACGGCTTAGTCTTTCCTAAAAGGATGAACTATGATCCATTGCCTGATGGAGTTTAAAATGAATAATGAGAGAACAGGCTAGAATAGGAAAATAATCTTTTAAAGAATATTTGAATGAGCTGGAATTACTCAAATTACCATGCCTTTGACAAAATCTCAGAAATCACTGAGGACTTTGTGAGTTTGTGGGGAATGGGGAAAATCCTGAAGGACAAGAACAAGGACAAGAACAAGAACAAGGACAGCCATATTACCACCTTTAGAAAGGAGGGAGTAGGATTATGTACAGAAAACCTGGCTAGGGAACAGTACCATAGAAAAGGACCTATAACAGGTAAAAAAATGAATGGAACTGTTCTACGTATCATACGGAAGGCATGGGCGGTAAATACTGCCCTTCGCATGGCACTGTTAAGATCTTGATCAGAACAATATTTCTTGGATTGGAGTCCACATATTAAGAAATATACAGATGGAACGAGAAGACTTTTACTTATTATGAATTCAAGAAAGAATTTCTAGAAAACAATGCTTTTTGTAGAAAAGCGGAGATGAAAGGGAGGTGTTGGTGCTAGCTGTGTAAAACGCTGCTATAAACAGGAAAGTGGTCAGTAATTCTCCATTTGCACCGAGACAGTAACCTGTGAACATGTAGTAACAGTAAGGCTTATATTAAATATCAGGAGACTTTCTTACCATTGGGACAGTTAGGTACTACATTAGGAGACGGCTGGATTATCACCATGGGAAGTTTAAACAAATGTCTTCCGGCTTGAGATCAGTGGTTGGACTACGTGACCTTTTGTGCCCGACATTTCTACAATTTGTTTCTTCCTAGCACATACCTTGATTTTTAAAGCAATTCGGTTTGTGCCACATTCAAATTCCAGCTGCAAGCTCTTTGTTTTGTTGGCCATATGCTTTCGAACACAAAGCAAATGTGCTGTGCCTGACAAGCTGGAAGGCTCCAGGGACATCCTGCTGGAACAACGCAGAGAAGAAATACTGGGAAGGTGAGTGAAGAGGGAAGGAGGAATATATTAGCTCTGCGGCTCAGCAGCAGTGTTACAAATACGACCAACTTAGAGCCAGTTCCTCAGTATCGTTGAGCCCAGCTAATCACAGGCTGAGTTTGCAAGCTCGGCGCAAGGGTACTGTGTAACATGTATATTTATGGTATCATGACCACTGCTAGGGTTTAATGAGAATTTCAGTGTGGGAGGAGACACCACGAACAGATGGAAAGGCAGCAGTAATCCACAGACATATTGACAAGGCATGCAGGCCAACTGGGTGCTGACCAAGCCCAGCTGTCCCTCTCTCTGGTCTAGTCTAGTCGAGAGAAAAAAAAGAGGCAGAGTTTTGAGTAACACTTCCAGTGCATGAGCTTCTGTTTGGTGTTGATATAGCGTGACCCTTTTTCCACTGCCTGTCTTATCCACAACAAAGATGATGCCGTCTTCACAGCCTTGGAAGTACCACCATTCACAGCCTGCACCAGGATGCAGCAAACTCCTCTTTCTTTTTCTGATGGATCTGTACAGGTAAGCTTGTCTTGAGGAGAAAAATGTGAGCCTAGGGAAGAGATGGTTTGAAAAAGTGCCTGCTCTCCCCTAGCTGTGATAAATCCTCTGTTGTTCTGGGACTGTAAAGTTATTGGGCAGAGACCATATCTTCATACATGCCTTTTCACATTGCCTGCCTAATGTCTTCTAAAATCTTATAAAATTACTGTATACAACACATATAATAGTATATGGTAAGGAAATATCCCCAATTTGGCCAGCTAACTCCCCAAATTCCCTGGAGGTTTGGGGAGGCAGGTATATGCTCTAGGTCTTTGAAGTGAACTGCCAGTCTCCAACTGCTCAGACACTACAGTGCCATAAACCACGCATCATCTCAGAGATGCCATAAACCACTCATCACCTCAGAGATGCATTCTGAACACCAGTTTTCAAAAGATGTCTTCATAAAAAACAGACTCAGTGTCAGCCAGTTATTTCCATATGGCAAGGGCCAACCCAGAAGTAAATATTGTATCATGAAACCAAGTCCCCAGCCAAGACCAAGATGCTTTCCTATCTGCTGGTTCATAATATGAGGTGTCACCCAGCTGCCTTGCAAGACGGTTTGCAAGCCGTGGCGTACAATACACACTTACCGTGGTGATTGCCAGCTGTCTCAGTGTCACCGCTGTCAGCCCAGGTGGGGTTTTAGCCAGTGAGACAGAGGATAATAGATTCACGCAGAGCTAATTTAGTCTTCAGGTAGGGCAAAGCGTGCTTGCCGAGAAGTTTGCTTGCGTTTGGCAATGCCGGTTTAAGTCCACGTCTGGTTATACTAAAACAATTTATTCTGTCAACAAGGACTCATGTAGGTCTGAAACATAAAAGGTGTGGGAGGTTCCTTTATGATTTCAAGAGGAACTGGAGTAGACCCTTTGACTTCTCAAGGACAAAAAAAAAAATCATCAACTTGAGGGTCTTCCTTACAAAAAAATCACAACATGGTGAAAGAAAACATTTTCTTTACAAGGAATACCTCCAGGGAGTAACCCGGAGCTGTTCCTCTTTTGAGGGCATTTCAGTAAGTTGCTGTTTCAGACCTGAAGAAAAGCTTGTATGCCTGAACACTTGTCTGCTTGGTTTTTTTTTTTTTTCTGTATCATGTAGTCTGCTAGAAGATACATCTCCTTACAGGCTTGCCTGACATATGCTAGGACACTGGGGCTACAACAACATTACCTCATTAATATTAACATTACATTGCAAACAAAACACGGAATAAAATAGTCAGCCCTCTTCATCTGAGGACCAAGGGTCAAGCAGCCTTTTTAAACCATACAGCTTTAAACTTTCTTTTTTTTTTTTCATACCCGGGGTCTGCTCAAAATATAAGCAAACTGACCAGGTACCAGGACTCAGGGAGAGCTCAGGAGCTTCTATATGAGTTACAGGAATACAGGGGAGGGGTAGCCAAACAGCATAAGGATGATCCTCTTCCTATCATCTGAAAAGGTAGGTTTAAAAGAAGATGGAAGGTGCAAAGGCTGAATCATAAGGCAAGTGCTTGAAGAGACCGCTTTAAGCTTCAGCAGGCAATCTTAGTTGTGGTGCTTCCTATCTTCGAATGCCCGAGTTTGCATTTCTGCTAACATTCTTGTAACGTAGGTTTTTTTGTGTGTGCAGTTTTCTAGGCTGAAAAGCAAATAAACACTTTCCCTTCTGTATAATTATGTTAGACCGAAGGTTATCGCCAGAGTTTACATCTTTTGCTCTGCCCCACTGACCTTTGCTCCTTCAGCAAATGCTGGGGTTGTGAGATGCCACCTGGAACGTGGCTCAGCACCGGCGGGATACTCACTGGCACAGGTTTCAGGGGGATGTGCTGGCAGCAGGGGTTTGGTGAGAGCGTTGATTTCCATCCCTACCCGTGCCTGGAGGACCTCGCCTGGGCAGGTTCTTCGCATGTCCATTTCTCTTCCAGTCTTCATCACCGAAGCCCATGGCACAGAGGGATAACTGAATCTTTCCAGCAGTGAGGATTCAGCTGTGAGTTTCAGACTTTTTTTTCCTTACATATAATGCATTTATTTTCAATTAAAACAATGTTTATTTTTGTGATGGCTTCCATCAAGCTATGCATAGCCCTGTTCGCTCTGCATGTCCCCCTCTCACACTATGTCACACCGTGTCACGCCTGCCTCACCCCGCTCTGTCGCTGTGTGCCATTTCGGAGCTCTGGGAGGCAGGTATGACACCTTGCTCGTACCAACTGCCTGTGACCACAGAGGTCCAAATGGGCATTTGCAGCTCTTCTTTCCAGGAATCTGTAGCTGGTTGCTATAGTGATAAACAAGTTGGTTTATTAGGAAAAGGAACAAAGCACTAGAGAAAATTACTTCAAAATGGCCTATGTGCATACATAAACACGCAATCTCGTTCTTCATTGTCAGCTGGGGCAGCTGGTTTCTCTTTTCTGGAACAGCACAGACCCCATGTACATTATTTTAGCAAGTCCAGCTCGGTCTCCACTGCCTGTCTTTTCTGACACACAGCGTCCTGCGTGCGAGTGTGGGGTCCTTCACTTCTGAGTTGGATGATTAAATTTCTTGGGGGCTTCCACAACTGGATAGTGTAGGAAAATGTGGTCTCTTAGAGAAAGTGTTAGGTGATCTAACGAGGCTGAAATAAGTCTAAAGGAGCAGAAGAGGACAGAAGAAATTACGTTTTTCTGCAGCTTGTGCTGCTGATTCCTTTTTTTTTTCCTTTCTTCGCCTCCCGCTGATGCCAAGATACCTCTATGCAGACGCTCAGGGTGGCGGCCTGGGCCTGTCAGATGGTAGCACATTACATTCTCTGTGGGACGCCTGGCTTAAGCATTGGTCTTGTGGGCCTTCACTAACGTATAATAAACCTGTTCTCATTTAAATCCCTATGTACACAGTGACTCCACCGAGATCAGGCTTATGCCCTTGAATGTGCAGCAGACAGTGGATGTTCTCTGACACACCCGCGAGATGCAGCCGCAATGCTCTTTTTTGGCTAGTCACACATTTTGATTGACTGAGCGACGCCAAAAGGTGTAAATTCAAATGCTAGAAACTACACTTCATGTATTTAATTTAGACAGGCAGGCTAGTCTTTTGCCTGCTATGATTTGAGTCACCTGGTATCTGGTTTTACCCATCACAGAAACTAGGCTGATGAGCCATCTTTGCATGCCAGAGCCAGTTACCTACCTTCAGTTACCACCAGTCACTGCTGTTGAAAGAAAACCACGAACCAGTCCGAAGAAATGAACCACCCTTGGGTTTAATTTATTCGATTACAGCCATGTGAAATCGGAACTATTTCTCTGCAGTGTTTTATCCACTAGTTAAAAATAATTGCACATTTTTATATGTTTATCCAACTGGTTTTGCTTCTGCTTCCTGCAGGCCCGTAATCGTCTATCAGCCGCAGAACCTACAATAAATTTTAATAGCTTTATTTCAAATGCTCTCTGCAACTCTGACCATCTTTCCAGTATCTGAAAAAGAACAGTCTGTAATGTTGTACCTAGCTTGAGCAAATCCTGGTGTTCAGAACCCGAGGGGAAATTCAAACGGAGCAAGCAAAAGGCTTGGCCAGCTTGTCCCTGCGTGGAGCATGCCCAGGGGAGAGGCTGGGTGGGCAGGCTGGGTGGCAGCAGAAGGCTCTGGACGGAGCTGCCTGAGGGGTGGGTGACCCCGAGTGGTGAGGGGGAGAAAAGCAAAAAGAACTGAGCTGTTTTAGAAAAAGTGGAACCGTACATCTATGGCACGGCTATAGGAATTCTCATGCCATGCCTATCCTTTCCTACAGATGTTGGAAAGACTGAAACCAGTGAAAAAGGAAGAAACTGGGGCGCGCCATTGCTGGCTAGCATTACAATCCCTTATGGCTGCGTCCAGCCAGCGCAAGGCAAAGAGTCTGCAGCGTGCTCCAATTTGAAAAAAGCCTCTGTGAGCCTGTAGAGAATGTTCCCAGGGATGAGATTTCTTTTGCATGTACATGCGTATGCACACTTGCATATGCACACTGCTTTCTAGCACCGTTTCAAGCATTCTCCTGCCAGAGCCAGGCATCCTTCGCTGGTAAGAAGCGCACAAAATTGAAGTGGAGGTAGTTTTTTTTTAAAACAAATGAAAAATCAGGTGCCAAGTCCTGACACATCTCTGACAAAAATCTTCAGAGAATGGGGGCAGCAATCAGCAGTACCATAATAGATGAGCCAAGCAATATACTACTGCAAACAAACAATTCTGGACCAGATCCTGAAGAGAAATGCCTGCCCACACACCCTGATACAACCCAGAATATGCACTGTACTGCATATTGTGTGTGAAACCCTAGGAACAGCCTGAGTCACACAATGATTGGTACCATCCATCACAAGTTAGAAACTCGTCCTTTGTTTCAGAGTTGCACCTGAGGCCTCAAATCAAATGTGACAATTTTTATAATAACCAGTGCTAAGGTGTTTGGTA